TCAGAGAACTCTCGCCACTGGATGTGACTTCCCGTCTGCTGGAAGTCCTCTAAATAGTGCGAACAGGTCGAGAAACAGTAACTAGTTGAATGCCACGTTACACTCTATTCGAATTCAAAAGTAAGAGACTAATATTCGGAACATGTTGTTACAGGGCCCCATTTTTCCTATACTATTCTCCGTCTAACATATGAAAAAGACCCTAACAAATATAATGATGCTATGGGAGAGGTGATGACAAAACATAATGGTTATCACATGGCAATTGTTCCGTCTCCGACAAAATCAATTTTATTTACTGCTGAGTTGTATTTAATTATAATTTATTATTCGTAAGGAAATGAAAATAGTTTAAAATTACACACATTTTAGAGAGCGAATGAAGAGGGAGAACGCGAACAATAGAGTGATTTTAAGCCTTTTTTTAATCATCTAATCCAACAATTTTAAAGGTAGTAACGAACAAGTAGTTTCAGACAAAGTGACTGGTGAGCTGGGAAAAATCGTATTCCCGAAAACCTTCAGCTCTTCAGCAATTTCCTATTTTTTTGTCAACCCTAAAATTCCTCACAAGGACCAGGAACCCTCAAACCCTTCATTGAGTGTGGGCAACCCCCCAACTTTACTGGCGCCCACGCGCAAAGCACATGTCCAGAAGGATTCTTTTTTTTTACCAAGTTTTTATTGGATAACACTCTATATTTACAAATATTTACAACTTTAAAAACTACTATAAAAAAAAATGGTTTTATGAACAATAATTGTGGTTAAGAAAACTTAGGCCTCCCGAGTTTTTAGTTAGATACATATTGTTATGTTTATAGCGTTCACCTTTTTGTATTTCTATTGAGATTATTACGGTTTCGGTCGTAAACTATATAATAAAGAAGTGATGTGCCTAAAAAAAAAATTTTTACTTGCTGATGCGGCGGAAAAAAAATGGCACAATGGATTTGCATAATAATTGAAACATAAAAAAAAGAAAAAAAGATACAGTATTTTACATTCAAGTAGCTTTTAACGTACTTAAGTACTATGTAGGTATTGTTAGTATCTTATAATCAAATGGTATTGGGTGGAACTAATATTGAAAGATTTTAAATGTTTCACAGTAGGGAATCAAATATTAGTAAATATATTTCTATTACTAACTACTTGATTATAATTCGAAGTCCTAAGGTGGACGGAAATTATTCCTGTGGGATCTTCTCTGTCCTCTGCTAGATTCATTGAGTTTATTATTTTGCACAAAAGCTAAATAACGGTTTTTTAACTTTTTCATGTACTTATCGTCCTCGTTCAGCCACCAGAATTTGTTATTGACTCCTGAGAAGTCTTCGAAATCATAGTTAGGGATATCTCTAGCATATAGAAGTTCCTTCGTCTTAAAATTATCAATGGGGATTTGTTTATTGTTCATGTATCTTCCAACATGATATAAGATCGGTTTGTTCGATTCGTCTTGATATAATTCGATCTTATCATAATATGTAAAATATTGTGGTTTTACATGACCATATCTGGCTCTGTCTACAGCTTCATCAATTGGGAACTCTGCTAGAGCATTAATCGTCTTATTAGAAATTTCTTCGATTTTATTATAATAATTTCTAGCTAAGCGCAGAATACATGTCCAGAAGGATCTGACTGGGAAAGTGGGTCTATTGAAGACGACACATTTCCCGACAGAACCTTGTTTTTCAGAGTAATTTATTGCAAGCCGTCACAGTAAAAATAAAGGGGTTTCGAACTTCGCGTTGCCAATTTATGACTTGGGGAATATCCAATTCTGCCTTTTTTAAAAGCACACCCTCTGTTCTCCCACGAAGGTTCTTGGTAATCGTGGTAACCAATTAGAAAAATGCCAAACTGTTGTTGTATAGAGAGTTCCCTCCTCCTTCTTCAGATGCTCTCAAGAAATCGAAAAGCTAAAATAATTTACTTACTTTTCGGAAGTCAAAGTGGCACGATAATAATATCTTTTTCTCTTGTGTACGCAAAGACCGTGGTGAATAAAAAAAAAGGAAAAATAACAGGTTAAAGTCTGTGTAACCAAGGTGTAATGTCAGTACAAATTGATTATTTCTGTTTAGTTCCGGCCCCCTACCAATTAACTTTCCTCTTATCAACTCAATAGCAAGGAACATCCAAAGAAAATTCCGTGAAAGAATCACATCTCGAGTGATATTAATTTGTTAGCTCGAGTGTATCAACCCTGAGTTGATACAGCAATGATTAGTCAGTCAATGAGTAACGGGAAAATATAAAAAACAGAAAGTTAGCTAGGGACATCCTGCGATTTGTTCCGTAGACATAATTCCCTAATATTTGGTCCTCATGTTTTTTGTCTTCGTTCTCTCGGGTTGCAGGAAATGTTACTTTCCTATGGCACTGCGGAGATTAACTAGCTAAGCTTCAAAGACATTCTTTGCCTGTCTTCAAAAAGAAATATTATGAGAAATTGTCATTCGTAATTTTGAATATCGGTTTGAAAAAATTGAAAGGTGTTGGCCAAACTGTGCAGTAAGTGAAACTTGGGCATGTCTCCAATTGTCAAAACGCTTTTTTAGATAAAAAAGTTGAATAACACGTCAGCTGCGTTCCATGTGTGCAAACACAAGACTACTTCCTTTCGATTTTCTCGAAATTTGTACAATTTATGAGGCGACCATGATCAAACAATTGAGTCCGCGAGTATTTTGGACTTTTTCAACTTTCTTTTCGACTTTTTAGACCACCGCGAATCTTATTCCATACATGTCAGTTCACCGAGGCCTCGAGAAAATGAACTGACTGACATGTATAGAATAAGATTTGCGGTGTTCGAAAAAGTGAAGTGTCCAGAAGGTGTCCAACAATAGTACCCAAAAAGTTCCGTAAAAATTCAAGTGTGAAAGGTAAACGTGGGGCGAAATGTAAAATGGGAAAAAGTGCCGATCATTCAGAACATTTTCCCACTCGGTCGGCAAAAAGTGATCTTTAAAGGTAGAGAAATTACGGTACTCAGGTCCATAAATTTTGCTGAATTGTTTCGTAATTTTTCCCCAATCTTTTTTTTTCAATAATAATAATTGAGGGAGAGGATAATTAATTGATAAATGATTTGATTGGATCTACATTTATTTTATTCAGGCAGTTTTCCTCATTGATTATTAATTTTAACAATGTTCAAAAACATCAGGCCATGATGTAATAATTAATGCGTGCAACCATGTGCACGACCACCCGTCGCCGACATTCATGAATACTGGGAAATTATTATACTATTAAAATGATGTACATACTTTTAAACACTAATAAGGTGCTCAGGTATTTTTTGATCCACTCATGCTATTCAAAAATCACCTGTAATGTTTTTTTATCCTTCTGACAATAATAATTTCCTGAACCCATTAGTCCATTGGCGGGTGACGTGATCCGAACTTGGACGATGATTCGAGATCGGATATGACCACAGTCGTACCACGAACGGTGTCTAAGAATTTTTCAATTCGGTCGCGTAAACATAACGGTATGTCACGTAAAATCAAAATGAAACTGGATAATTTTTACGTTACTTGGAATATTTTTTACCGCAACTGTGGTAACGTCTACAAGATCCTAAGAAATTACGTGACAATAACGTAAATTTTCCAGAGCAAATAATGAAATTTACTGTTCGTCTCTCATGTCTTCCCAAATTCTCTAGTAAAAAACGAGGAAATGACACACCAGTCCGCGGTTACGTGATTAGTCACGTAATTTTTCCTGTGTCTTTTTTCCGTGTAAGGAATTTTTTTAATCAAACTGATAAAAATCCGTTTTATTTCTGAATAAATTAGCCGTTGAAACTTCTCAAATCCATATGATTTAGCAAGCAAGAAGGGTGGTCATTGTCTTAATTTTTTCAATTGTATCGAATCTTTTCCAATTTTTTGCTTCATCAAAATAATAGAAACGTTCCAAGTTTATATGCTTTGAATAATACAGAGAGTCTCCAGATTTGTGTTCCAATGGACAAATTTTTATTGTTTTGATTTCGGAAATTGAAGCAAATTGGAATTGGAGCAAATTTCTGGCAGATTTTACCGAAATTTCCATTTAAATTTGGAGCCTATTTTCGTCCAGAATGTGTGTGATAGTGAATCAGTCTGTTTAGACTGAATCTCTCTAGAACGACCTCAACTACGAATATAAAGACCACTCCTGCATTATGAACGAGGTTTGTGGGACTGGGAGACTGCTTATTCAATCACGAAAAAAAAATTTCGAATCCTTATAATTTTGGTTGCAATGTTTTACTCGCCTCGATTCATCCGATGAAGATTTCCACAGTAAAAAAAAAAACACATTGATTGAACGCATATGTTCTTGTTTGAAATTTGCAACGAAGTTGTTTTTTTTAGCACCCAACCGGATTGCTGAATCAATGTTTTCATAAAATTACGGATTCATGGCACTAAATGTTGATTTGTTTTTCGAAAATTGGAGTGTTCATGATTGTATACTGGAATCAAACCCATTCTTCAGCGTACTTGAATCAAGTAGAAGCAGGTTTAAATCACGCCAGGATAACAAAAAAATATCAATAACATATTCACGTGTGCATACGTGTATCAAGACGGGACACTATTAGCGTGAGTCATTTCGGACTTGAATTACGGTAAAAAAAGGTTAATTGACGATCCATCACCTAAATACTGTATCGATATATTTTCCTATTGCATTACACGATATGAATTCATCATATTCACGGATTGGTGAAAAACGAAAGTCAGTATGACTTAATGAATTAAAGAAAAAATTTCCGTCCAACAAGAAGAGCACTGCAGTAGATCAGCTCCGCTGGAGAAAAGTAATATGATCCGATAATTTTACTCAACTCCCGTCTCGCCAGAGTCGAAGCTACCGACAACCATTCACTCTCGACTATCTCCCTTCTTTCACTCGATTTATTTCAACCCCTCCTCTATGTTTCGACAAAAGTCTTAATAAATTTCTCAACAGCGGCAAAACGGCGAGAAAACCATCAGACGATAGTCCTCCTATGACGACAGCGAATGGTCTCCTGAAATTCCACATCAGAGCATTGCAATTCTTGATTGGTGCTAAATAAGTATAGTTGTTTGAAAAATATTTCATCCATACACAATTATTAGGTGATTCCAACTCCTGATTTCTACGTGGATTGTAAGGTATGTTCATATTATTTGTTATTCATTCCGACGTTGTTTTGATATGACATTGATGAATTTTGTCAATACTAAGTCAGTCCGATATTAAAGCATAGGTAATTTCCTGTTTTATATTCTCAGTTATGAGCTAATCGTAATCATCTTGAATTGTGCGGGGAATATTTTATAAAATATGTGTAGCATTATATTATGATTATGTAGCATGATTTTCAGATTCACGCTGTAGTTAAGGTCAAAGAAATAATAATCTTTCGTGATGTTGTTATTTTCGTCAGGATGACAAAAGAAAGTCGCTACAAATTATGTGACCGGTGAAAAAATCGAGGTTCATTCCATAATTTTTTACGTATCCACACTTTGTTCCAGGTTAACACACTTTCGCGTCATTTTTCGGAAATTCTTTTCTCTATTCATGGATTTACTATAGTGCTGATTTTAATTTTTCATTATTTGAATTTTGTATTACCCTCTATTTTTATATACTGCAACCTGCCAAAATTTATTTTTCCTTCCGAACCGATAGATTTACGAAATTCATTAAGAAATATTGTGACATTATAGATGGAAAGATAGATACGAATAATTTGTGCATTTTTTCTTAATATCTTTTTTCATTGAAAACGTTCATTATTCATTAACGTTGAACAAACGTTCATTAATTTTCTTTTTCAAAGTTAAATATTTTTTTATTATCCATAAAAAACTTCCATCATTCATAGAGTAATGGGATGATTAGTTAAACAATAAAATCCCTTCAAAAATACCGTAAACTTGACTGCTTCGTCGAATTTCTGGGAAATTGATCCAATTCTTCTGTTGATTCTTTATTTTTTATTTATAGTATATTTCCGGACTGTGGGGATGAGGTTTTTTACTCGTGTGAAGTTTGACAAGTCGAGCCGAAGACGAGTCGGCCAACTACGCGAGTAAAACCCCCATCCTAATTACCAGGCGATAAATCGTGAAAAGTAGTACGGAAATAGTATATTTCGTAACAAGTGCGAAAAAATGGGAGGTTCATAGCACGAGCCGAAGGCGAGTAGTATAATCCCACATACCAAAAATCACTTTCTCCACGAGTGGTGAAGAAAATTTTCTTTTACAATCTGCGGGAAAGTCACTTTTTAGGCACGCGAGGTGAAGCGGAGAGTGTTTGAAAAGTTACTGTTTGGCACATGGTGACGAAAAATTCTTTTTAAATCGTTGTTATAGGTACAGACTAATAGAAATCAATAATATATTAATCTTGTTGACCGGAATTCGTAGCTCCAAAAAGGATAATTCGCTTAACGTCAGGTATGACAAGTCCTTTTTACAATTGAGACATTCTTCTCCAATTCGGCCATCTGTTTTCTTTCGTGTATCTAAAAATTCTGAAGATATTATATAGTTTTTTACGGGTTACAAAGACTTTCTATGAAATTTTTCTGTTTCTTTACACCTGGAATGATGGAGTTAGACGTCTGTAAAGGTATTTACGACTAGTTGAAGTGTCTCAATAAGTTGTGATTGCTGCCCGAAAAACACCATTTTCTGAACGAAAGGAAAGTCGAACTTTTCCATGTAGTGATGACGGAAAGAATAAGGTGCACCGAGAAGGAAAATGAGACATTTTGACCCGTATGTTTATCACAGCACATGGGTTCGAATGCCCTATTTTCTTCCCTTGGTGTACAATATACTATTGAATGATTTTTTTCATTTTTAAAAAAAGATCATTGAAAGGATTTAAACTCTAAAATAAGGTTACACCTTTCTGTTCTTATCACACATTTTTATTCTCAAATCAGCTTTTGCTGAAAAATAAAAATGAATTCAGAAAGATGGACGAAAAAACTGAACGGTTCATATGGAACTTTGTTTATTAGCCCGCAGCGTATGGAGATAGATCCATTATTAGGAAATAACACGTACATCACTTCGGCATCACAGTTCACAGGGAGTCCTGCTAACTCATAGAAAAGTATACAATATTTTCGGAATCTTGAGAGACCTCGAAAGAAAAGGTTGTTAGATTGAGGAAGAACTCCTACATTTCCACATTTAGTTTTCTAATGATTGAATTTAATCATTCCAGACTCATAGGAATACTAAAAAGTTCAGTGCCTTATATTATAATCTCAATTTCGTCTGAAAGTTTCAGAATCAGATTCAAAACCTAGCAACATATTCTCAAAAACTGTTTCCTGATAATGGTTTTCTTATACCAACTGAAATTAATTATTGATAGTTTAAAATAAACATTAATTGTAAACTCAATATTTATTATGAAGGGACTCCCCCATAATAGTAATTCATGTAATAAAGCCTGACAAGTATTTTTTTGATCAATTTAATCATAATGCACAAAGAATGTGATTGTATCTGTCAGGAAAACGTTGAGGCCATCTAACGTGCCTTGCTTTCTGTCACGAGGCCCGTGCAATCGAAATATGAGCTGGTCTAGGCCTGTCATTAATAAGTTTTATTAGCCTGGCAAGAATCCGATTAGGCCGATGACATGATAAAAAAATACAAAACTGAAGCGATTTAGAATATTAGGAAGAATTCCGAAAGTTATAAAATAGATCCTCTTTTATATCCGAAACCTAAATCTTATATCCGAAACCTAAATCCTATATCCGAAATCCTCATTTTTTTACTTATTCCTAAAAGAAAATTCTCGTGAAAACGTGATGGATAATCCGTAGAAATGCACCTGGAATATTCTTTTCATCATAAACTGATTTGTTATCGTCGATAACCACCTTTAAATTGACTATTTTGTCCTTTAAAACAGCAATGAAATCAAGAGAATGGTAGAAGTCCTTAAGTTTCTAATATCCTGGCTGATAATACATTAAATCTTGAAGTTCGAAGACGTGAAGGCAGAAATCGATGAGGTGCAAACTAAAAGTTGAATGAAAACAGAACAAAAACATAGAGCAATAGAAAAAGTCAACAATTCTAGAAAAAGATCGTCCTTGATATACTTAACTTGGGAGCAGCTTTCCACCCTCAGGCGGAAATATTCACTTTCCTCCCGCTCTTCAGACAGCAAAATAGGAAATTCCCTGCAGGCATGCTGAAAAATAGCATGTGCACTTCATGCGGGAAAAGGTGATCTTCCGCTCTTGACGCACAATATACTATTTCAGGCACGCTCCACTTCGCTTCACACACGTTAAAACTAACTTTCCTGCACATTGCGAAGAAATATAGTGTTCGCAACTCGTGTAGAAAGTTGTTTTTGGCATGTTGAATTATACCACTCGCCTCCCACTATAAACCTCCCACACAACAAAATGATTTTCCCGCACTTGCGACGAAATATACTAATTTCGACATTGCTGCTACGTTCACTTCAAGCCGAAAAGTGCCTTTTTATTTACTATTAAAGGAAAGGTGAACGGAAAAACTTTTCGTTTACTAGTAAATGAAAAGAGCACAGTTCGGCACTCGCTGAACGTAAAAACACTGCTAAAATACTATATTTCATAACAAATACGGAAAAATTATTTTTGGCGAGTGCAAGGTTTGTAGTGTGTACTGAAGGCGGGGGGCATAATCGCACATGGCGAAAACCACTTTCCGCACGAATTGCGAACAATTTTTTTTTGGCAATGTAGGGAAAAATCACTTTTTGGTCTTGCACATCAAAGCGGAGCGTGACTGAAAAGTATTTTTTCGGTACATCGTAATAAAAACTAGTATTCGCCACATAAACCGGGAATTTTCACGAGTGTAGTTGGCAGCTTTCGGCTTTGCTTCGGGTCGCGAACTTCACACTCGTGAAAAGTCCATCTCCCTCGTATAGGAATGTGCTATTACATTACTCGGCCTGCTTAACCCCCGTACTATTTGTTGTGTTAGGGAGGTAAGTGGCCGTTTATCGCCATCCTTTTCACTTACCCCGCTGCTCGTGTAGGGTTGTACAAAACGGCCACTCATTAGGCGGAGGTCGGCACCAGGTCAGCCGATGATCTGCGCCGATGACCGGCCAATCTTCTGCCGATCATTGGAGCGTTACCTTATGTCGCTCAACGGCACCGATGTCCGCCCAATATCAGCCGATGATATTATTTATAATAAATATTTATTCATAAATACATGTTTATTAGAATCCTTTCTAATAGTTTTGTGACTGTTTCCATCAATTCTACTGAATCCCAGGTGAGGAAATCCAAGCTTGAACGATGGACCCAAGCTTGGATCAGCCTAGGATACCAAGCTATGGAATTCCTAGCTGGAGCCAACCTTGATTCTATGGAATTACCATGATCCAACCAAGCTTGGTGATGTAATGCAAATACGGGCTTGTATATTAAGGTAGTTTCCGGCATGGCTCAAGTTTGGCATTCCGAGCTTGAACCGCTTGATTCCGGCTTCAACGTAGTTTGATCCAATATATGATATCTAGGTAATTCCAAGCCTTGGAAATGCTAAGCTTAACCGAACTTGGTAACAATCGACAAATCGGAGCTTTGATACCTAGAAAATTCAGATCATGTTCCAACCTTAGATCAAGCCTGGAATAGATAAATAAAATAATAAATAATAATAATGGTAATAATAACAACAATCAATTAGTTACAGATAGAATAAATTAGTATGTATGTCCGTAAAAAGGATTAAAAGTGGTAGTGGCGGGGGGAGGGGGGACGAGAAAAAGTAACTTATGTCAATGAATAATGTAAATTAAGTGAATACTTACTGATGTAAGTTAAAGTAAATGAATAGAACGTTATTCAACCAGATTATTTTTATAAAGTTGACATAAAGTTTATACGCGCAATTAAAGTCCACAAGTTATAAAGGCGCTGCTGTGGACACCCTAGCAGTCCATCATCCATCCTATAGCGTGGATCTAGTGTGTATGTTGCATGGATCCGATTTCCCGATAAAAAAAAACGGCTACAAATCGATAAAACCAGATCAAAGAATGATATAAAATAAATAAGGTGGATTATTTTGTACATTTGGAAATATTAATTGGATTAGCCAAGCGCTGTTTTCATGTTCCCCTCATTCTATCATTTATTTTTTATAACTTATCCAAAAATTATCCAATTAATATTGCCAAATGCACTAAATAATCCACTTTATGATTCCTCATCATTCTTTTATCTGTTTTTATAGATTCCTAGCCGTTTGCTTATTGGAGAATATACTATACTATATCCACGCTATAGCTGCTCCTATTCAGCGACTAACCTACAACCTACATCTTCTCCCAGTATTTCCAAAGTGTTATAATACTTCCCTGCTGGTCATCAAGTAAGTGTAGTTAACTGAGGCTGTGGCCTCAAATGAACAAAACCTTACTGAGCTCTAACAAGCGGAAATTCAAAATGAGTGCTGCTCAATCAAATAAAAAAAAAACTATACGACGGGAACTCAACCCACTTAAGCTGTTACACCATGTGCTTCAGCAAGAAAAGGCAACGAAGCTGCATCTCCTGAGTTGATCTCTGATCATACACCACCGATCATCATAGAAACTAAGAACCTAGAGGTAATGGACTTAATCAAGTTAATAAAAGCCACCGCTGCCATCAAGGTCTTTAAAATCAAATATTAGGGTACGAATTCGTCAATCCACCTCAAAACGAAGGCTGACCACAATAATGTGGTACAAATTTTCTCTGAAGCCAACCTTAAGTTCTTTACGGCTTAAGAAGTTCATCATCAAATGACTGCCTGTCTCATTCGCAGAGGAGGACATAAAGGAGGATCTAAAATCTCAAGGCATAGATGTAATCACAGTGAGACAGTTAATCAAAAAAACCAAAGAGCCGGTCTCAACTTTAAAACTACTCATATTCTCGGTCACAGTATCACCAGGATCAACACTCGCCAACTTCTCCAAGGTAAAAAAAATATTATATCATACCTTCTTAATAGGGAAATTCAAATCAAATGGTCAGCCAACTCAGTGTTTCGAATGCCAGTCATTTGAACATGCGAGTACACACCGCAGCCGCAACCCAAAATGTGTGAAGTGTGGAGGTGCACACGATACAAAAAGCTGCAATAGTGAAGCCATTAAATGCACCAACTGTGAGGAAAGTCATGTGGCTAGCTATAGGAAATGTGTATCCCGGGTTAAATACATTGAGAACTCCACCATGAGGAAAGGAAACGGAAGAACACAATCATTGGCTCCCTCACAAACAGCGAGTCAAAATCATCTGAACTGAGTCACCCCATCAAAATCATACACGCACGCCGTGATAAGCCAGCCATTCACAAACAACTTGAGAGAGACAATCCCATCATCCACACCACTCCAACCCGTTCAGAAGGAGAAGCCTTTCTCCACAACACACGAAACCGCTATGGATTCCTCAACACATCCCAATCTGGCTCACCAACAGCAACACTACCATCCTCGCCGGTCATCGACGAGCAGAACCAGAGACCAGGAGCCTCTTCTCTCTCCAGCCACTAATAACTTAAGTAGCATAAAACTCTGCATAGAGGACGCTGGTGCCATCGTCAGAGAATTATTGTATTTGAACATATTCCAATTAATTGAAAAACCAAAAGAAATGATCCAATTATTAAAATCCACTGAGTCGCCTATTCATTGCCTCACGATCATAGCCTCATACTCAGACATATTTGACAATAATCCTCCATTATGGCGCCATTAAAACCAATTAATATTATTGCGTTGAATATTAACTCTCTGAAACCGAAGCTATCAGAATTATCACTGATAATTACTGAACATAATGCTAAAGTTATTCTTTTTTCAGAAACGAAATTAACGTCTAATGTTAATGTTTAAAAAACTTCATTTACCAAACTTTGCATTCATCAGAGCGGACAGATCTCAAAAGGTGGGTGCAGGAGTGGCCATAGCCATTCACTCTTCAATCAGATACAACACTTTTCCTCACACCATTAAATCCAACTCGGAATATGTAGGAGTATAAATTTTCATAGATAGTAAGGCCATCTACTTATATTCTATCTACAATCCCCCGAATATATCGTTGGACGACGAACTTTTATCATCAAGACGGGAAGTTTTATATAGCGTTCCACATTTCTTGTGACGTCGAAGGAAATCGTTGGATAGGATTTTGGATGAGGTAGGAAGGGGAACAGGATAATTCTCCATATAATTTTTGCGAGAAAAATTACTGAAAAAATGGATAGTCCAGACCGGGACTTGAACCCGGGACCTTCCGATTATGCATCGGGTGCTCTCCCAACTGAGCTATCCGGCTCCTAGCCATTTCTTCTATTCACTTTTCTTGCCTATATATGGAGCACCGCCGTCCAAATTCTGCATAAGCCAGGCTGCTCGGCTGTAGCAGCGGGGGATTTCAATGCTAAAGATAATGTTTGGACTCCAGTTGATCCTAACACTTCAGGTAAAATCCTCTCAAATCTTACCTCATCCTCAAATTTAATTCTTTTTGCTCCCAATGAACCAACCCATTATCCGCCTAATTCAAAATCACCATCTACCATTGACTTACTAATAACTAACAACCAACAATTAATCTTAAATTTTCAAGTCCTTCACGAATCACCATCTGACCACCTGCCCTTAATGTTCTCGATTTACGGAAAAGCTTCTGTTGTTAATCCTATCAAGAAAATTAACTTCACGAAAGCTAACTGGATAAATTTTAGAGAACAACTAGACAACTCACTAACTACTGATAAGCCCTCCTGCATATCAATTAATCTTACTGATCAAAACATAAATTTACTTACCCAAAAAATTGTAGAGACATATAAAGGAAACACCCCAGTGTTTCCTCCCCATCGTAAACGCACTCCATTACCAGATCACTTAATAAAATTAATTAAACAGAAAAATAAACTTAGGAACTACTGGCAACAAAATAAGGATAATTTCTGGTTAAAATCCTGAATAAATAAATTAACTAAGGAAATCCACACCAAAATTCTAGAGTGGAAGCAAAATGAGTGGGATAACAAACTCAAAAATGTTTCTCCCAACGATCACACTATCTGGAAAATTTAAAAAAATTTTAATAATACCCCGAGACAAAAAATTCCAAACTTCAATTTAAACAATAAAATAGTTAGTGATGATGTCGGTATGGCAGATACCCTCTGTTCTCACTATGCAAACATTCATCAAATCGCTTCTGAAAGAGGGAATCCTTCCTTCGAACAGCAAACAAATGCCTTCATTAACAAAAAACTTTATACTAACAAAACGGATATTCCGAACGGATACCTCTGTAGTCCCAAGGAAGTATGCAGCATAATACGAAAACTGAAACCTAAATCAGCCCCGGGTATCGATGAAATCCCTAACATAGTTATCAAAAATATCACCAAAAAAGCATAAGTTCTCCTCACGAAAATCATGAATTCCTGCCTTCTCCTACAATATTTCCCTGATGCCTGGAAAAAAGCAGTGGTAATTCCCACCCTAAAACCGGGCAAATCCGCTTTCCACCCAGTAACTTACAGACCTGTCAGCCTCCTTCCAAATCTTGGAAAGATACTAGAAAAAATCATATTCACGAGGCTAAACAAATCTATCCTCCAACATAAAATTCTCCCAGAAGAACAGTTTGGTTTTAGGGCCTCCCACTCCACCACTCACCAACTTGCAAGACTGATTAACATTGTTAAAAAGGGAAGTATAGCAAAGGAATCGTCTGTGGCTCTCTTTCTGGACAGTGAGAAGGCTTTTGATTCTGTATGACCAGGAGGCCTGATTCATAAGCTTATCTCCTTAAACATTCCGGAATTCCTATGTAAAGTTATACACTCTTTTTTACAGAATAGATATATACAGGTACGAGTAGACTCTTCCTTATCCTTACCCAAAAAAATTGCCGCTGGAATACACTCAAAAAAAAATCCCAGAAAAATTACTGTGCTCGGCACGGGAATCGCAGTGCAAAATGTTTTATTCGGAAAATTTATCGACGAGGCTAAGAATAATACCTTAGTACACCATGCTTATTTACAGGAAATTGAAGATTTTTCGACATTTTCATCAGTTAATTTTCCTATGCAGCACAGGAAAAATTCTGAGGGTAAGAGGCATTACTGCGAACGCAAAGAAAAAATGATTAACATAATATGATCCAATACTGTGAAAATTGCCACACGCCTCTTTGCTGCTGCGAGATTTTTACTATGCTCCCTATGAATATTCACGACATCCCTCTGGTTTGGAATGAAACAATTGCCGATGAATACGGATTACTTCCGGACGTTGTCAAACGTTTTACTTGTGCTGAAGTGCTTCAGATATACCTCCAAACCTTTTAGACTTTTACTTTTTACACACGTTTATTTAACTCTTTTGTGAAATAGAAAAGTGCAACTTTATAAGAAGAATCAATTAAAATTGGGTAAGTATTGAAATCAATTAGTTTTTAATGGAAAAATTATAAGGTACAGATATTGCATGATGTCGGTTGGGTTTTTTTTATTTGAATTTCAGTTTGTTTCATATATATAGTATATTTGCATTCTCGCTGTACATTTCATAATACTCATCTACATCTGTTCTATTCTC